CACTAGGACACCCCACAGAGACAATATACTCCACTAGGACACCCCACAATAACAGTACACTCCACTAGGACACCCCACAGAGACAATATACTCCTCTAGGACACCCCACAATAACAGTACACTCCTCTAGGACACCCCACAGAGACAATATACTCCTCTAGGACACCCTACAGAGACAATATACTCCTCTAGGACACCCCACAATAACAGTACACTCCTCTAGGACACCCCACAGAGACAATATACTCCACTAGGACACCCCACAATAACAGTACACTCCTCTAGGACACCCCACAATAACTCCACTAGGACACCCCACAATAACAGTACACTCCTCTAGGACTAGGACACCCCACAATAACAGTACACTCCTCTAGGACACCCCACAATAACTCCAGGACACCCCACAATAACAGTACACTCCTCTAGGACACCCCACAATAACAGTACACTCCACTAGGACACCCCACAATAACAGTACACTCCTCTAGGACACCCCACAATACAGTACACTCCTCTAGGACACCCCACAATAACAGTACACTCCTCTAGGACACCCCACAATAACAGTACACTCCTCTAGGACACCCCACAATAACAGTACACTCCTCTAGGACACCCCACAATAACAGTACACTCCTCTAGGACACCCCACAGAGACAATATACACTAGGACACCCCACAGAGACAATACACTAGGACACCCCACAGAGACAATCTCCTCTAGGACACCCCACAATAACAGTACACTCACCCCACAGAGACAATATACTCCTCTAGTACACTCACCCCACAGAGACAATATACTCCACTAGGACACCCCACAATAACAGTACACTCCACTAGGACACCCCACAGAGACAATATACTCCTCTAGGACACCCCACAATAACAGTACACTCCTCTAGGACACCCCACAATAACAGTACACTCCACTAGGACACCCCACAATAACAGTACACTCCTCTAGGACACCCCACAATAACAGTACACTCCACTAGGACACCCCACAATAACAGTACACTCCTCTAGGACACCCCACAATAACAGTACACTCCACTAGGACACCCCACAATAACAGTACACTCCTCTAGGACACCCCACAATAACAGTACACTCCTCTAGGACACCCCACAATAACAGTACACTCCTCTAGGACACCCCACAATAACAGTACACTCCACTAGGACACCCCACAATAACAGTACACTCCTCTAGGACACCCCACAATAACAGTACACTCCACTAGGACACCCCACAATAACAGTACACTCCACTAGGACACCCCACAGAGACAATATATTCCACTAGGACACCCCACAATAACAGTACACTCCACTAGGACACCCCACAGAGACAATATATTCCACTAGGACACCCCACAATAACAGTACACTCCTCTAGGACACCCCACAGAGACAATACACTCCTCTAGGACACCCCACAATAACAGTACACTCCTCTAGGACACCCCACAATAACAGTACACTCCTCTAGGACACCCCACAGAGACAATACACTCCTCTAGGACACCCCACAATAACAGTACACTCCTCTAGGACACCCCACAATAACAGTACACTCCTCTAGGACACCCCACAGATAAAATATAATCAAGGGAACAGTTCAGTAATTGGTAAGTTAATGTTTTTAAATCAAATTTTGTAATTATAATTTTCCTTGATTTTATTAATCACGAATGACACAAAAATTCAAAATAGTTATTTACTTTTAATATTTAAACTGCTTATTTAAAACTTAAAAAGGGGAGGAAGCAGGGAACTACCCTCTCTAGTTATTAAATCTCTGTTACATAACTGATGTCAAAATAAATATCCTTTATGAACTACTCCAAAAATGTCCTTCGAACATACACAGATTTGCAAAGCAGTAATATTTGTCATTGTATTTCATTCACCTGGTCTGTCTATACAGTATACCTAGGTCATAAAAGTATTTGTGTGTACGTCAGATACCATACTACTTGTGAGGGAGGAAATGTATATGTTTACCTCTCAGAATGTTTGGTAATATGTTTATTGTTTGTGATGTGTGTCTATGTATGTATTAACACGTTGTACTGAACGGGGTGAGAATAGCTTGAGCTACCTCATCCCTTTGTGTGTATTTTATCTCAATAAACTTATTTCAATTTCAATTTCAATTTCAATTTCACCTGGGCAATAGGAGCCTCGCACCGGGCGATAATCCAAAAGTTAGCGTGTAGTTCTCTAACCACTTGAGTTATATCGACAATAACTTGAGCATAGAGGTAGAGTTTAGTCATTTATTATGCACCCCATTCACAGCCCGTGTGTGTGTGGGGGGGGGGGGGGAGGTAGGGGGGTGGAGATGGTTACAGAGGCAGGTAATTCAGGAACTGAACCCCATAGTTCCACTAGATAAGCAAGGAACAATTTTAAGTCCACTACGGGCTCACTATAGCCCGTGCTACTTGCAACTTTTTGTTCCGAGTAGCGAATCTTAAACAACATAGTTACACAATTTTCTCTTTTTTTTGTACATAAATACACGGACCTATATCAATAGACTTTTATATCACAAGTGGTTCAAGAAGTGGCGCACAACAGTCTCTATACAAGGTAGTTTACATCTGAGAAGATTCAGTAACACAGTTACTAATCCTGCTCAACACCCACCCGACTGGACGGCAGGTAGTCCACGCACCAGTCATTTATATAACAGGAGCATGGACCACTTAATACCACTGTGCTCATGTGGCATCCAGTTACTAGTTTCAGCCCCGCTCCTGTTCCAGGCTCCTGTTCCAGGGAAGTCCACTACGGGCTCACCAAATCCCGTACTACTTGCAACTTTTGGTTCCCAGTTACTGAATCTAAAACAACAAAAACGTGGCATACAAGAGAGGCTTAAAATCATAACTGGACACCATTTGTGTAATTCCTCTCTTATTATGGGTGTTTATAGCTCAGTGGTTAGAACTGCGGGTTGCCGTTCTGGTGGTCGACGGTTCGACACTCCTACTCCCCAGGTGAATGGAGTATAAGCCACGTTTATTGTGGTTAAACAAAATTGTATTATATATTTGACGTTCTTTCTTTGTAGTAATTTTCCAGAAAACTTTGGTTAATATAAGCTGAAACTAGTTATCAAAGGATGTCAACAAACTCACTTTTACATTCTTACTATAAACTAAAATTAATTTACTGACAATTGGTTTTCAAGTTTATTAATCTATACCGAGATACGTATTTTAATTTAATTAACATAATTTGTATTAAATTAATATGTATATTTATTATCAATAATCTGTGGGGGTTAAAATTTTCGCAGATCGTCAAAGCGCTGGAATGTCTATAGTCAATAGTATCTTGAAGTCAGCATTACCTTGTTGTCAATAGTAACCAAGTTAATATCTTGTGGTTAGCAGTATTTTACTGTAAGTAGTACCTTGAAGTCAGCAGTATTTTGTGTGTAAGTAATACCCTGAAGTCAGCAGTATTTTGCGATAAGTACCTTGAAGTCAGCAGTATTTTGCGATAAGTACCTTGAGGTCAGCAGTATTTTGCGGTAACACCCTGAAGTCAGCAGTATTTTGTGTGTAAGTAATACCCTGAAGTCAGCAGTATTTTGCAATAAGTACCTTGAAGTCAGCAGTATTTTGCGATAAGTACCTTGAAGTCAACAGTATTTTGCGGTAAGTAGTACCTTGAAATCAGCAGTATTTTGCGATAAGTACCTTGAAGTCAGCAGTATTTTGCGATAAGTACCTTGAGGTCAGCAGTATTTTGCGATAAGTACCTTGAAGTCAGCAGTATTTTGCGATAAGTACCTTGAAGTCAGCAGTATTTTGCGATAAGTACCTTGAAGTCAGCAGTATTTTGCGATAAGTACCTTGAAATCAGCAGTATTTTGCGGTAGGTAGTACCCTGAAGTCAGCAGTATTTGTATTGTCAAAAGTATCTAGCAGTCATCAATGCCACATCAGAGATACACAGAGGTGTATCCATTTCACGGTGTATATACACAGTTTATTTTAGTCCTGGACTATGTTCAGGACTACAGTATACTTGTTGGTTGGTCAGTAAGCACTTATGTGACTTTAACCCTTCAGTGGTTGATAAGCTTTAGTTTAACACCGAAATCAAACAGCAACACAGTCCCTTACAGTTAGCTTCTCACAGACCCACCAGCGCCGACTTTATAATTACCTATCAGTAAATGGCATGAACTCTGAAATAATTTACTGCTACGTCTGGGAAGTCTCTGAATACATCAATGATGGAAATTTGTCCTTGCCTGAGTTTCACATTTAATCGCGTGAAAGATGTCCAGCAAGATTAAAAATACAAAATATTCGCATCAGGAGAGATAGTAGCGAGCCGCTATATGTGATTTGTACGTTTTGAATTTTAGAGAACACAGAGCATTCTGCAGGATACTCTCGTATGGGGACAGACCTACGACTACTTTGCTAAAGTCTCCTCAACACAAGTGCACACCCTTAAGACCTCGAAAGCCATCTGCCAGAGATTAGAATATAGCAATATGTAGACTAATGAGGGAACACTATTACGAGCTGTTAAGTGTTCATCTGGACACTGGGTGTTGCTGAGATCCACTGAAAGTCCTTTAGAGACAACTTTTGTACCTAGTATTGTTAGTAAGTACTAAAGTATATCAAGAGAGCCAATGATGAGTTCCTAAACAGGGCTACCAGAGACTAGTAAAGCGGTGCTAATGCCTAGTTAAAGGTTATTAAAGGGATATTCAGGGGGGAGAAAAGATTGAAAAAGAGCTATCAAGGACTTACTGATGCTTGTCAAACCCAAGAATGATTACTAAGAACTCCTGTAAAATCCTCTTCTAAATATTGAGATTTGCTAACCAGACCAATCACAGCTAGAGAAAGATTCGAACTCCAAGTAAATGTTATGGAAAACCACCAAATGATCCCTGAAATCTAGTTGAGGTCCTGAAGGTCCACAAAGGGGCCACTTAAGGGGCCTAGAACTTACCCTCGCTGTCCTTGGTGTCGGGTCGGCCTTTGCCTCCGCCTCCTCCCTTCTGCAGGTGCTTCTTGAGCTCCGGGTCGGAGAGCAGGTCGGGGTCACGGAAATAGTCGTCCGGAGTGTTACCAGACTGTGGTAGCAAGATAAAGAAGGTCAGAAAGGGAAGAACAATTTATATGAAATTTAAAAAAGTAATTTGGGTATAGGAAAGGGCAGCAGGCAGGAATAAAGGTCAATTGAAGCCAGTAGCAGGAGAAGAAAAATTTGTGTAGGCACAGAGAAAGGTCAGCATACGAAAGTTACATCTGAGTGTATTGGTTAAGATCCAATACCCCAACAACCAATTGGAATTGGTTAAGATCATTGTTCATGGAAAATCTTTAGACAAGAGATCTCTCTCCACATATTATCTTTAGGAGAAACAGTTGTAACAACATGGAACACACACACACACACGCATCTTCCGTACCTCTGTTAAATTTCTTATTTTAACTACAATTTTTATGGGCAAAAGGGAGGCCCTTCTCACCTTGTCTGGCTTGGAGTCGTCGCCCCCAGCTTTGAGGAGAGTCTGGTAGTGGTGGCCATCGTCGTCCAGGTTGGCGGCGTAGTGTAAGGGCGTGCGACCGGCCGAGTCCTCGTCGTCGATCAGCTCTGGGTGCTTGCTACTCAGGTACTGTGTCAGGTCTGTTAGGACACGGGGTAGGCAGTTGTTATGTTCTCAATGTTAGACGCGTGTTGGTCAATATTAGCTGGTTTATGTGTGTGTCACGTAATTAGCCATCATAGTCAGGTAACCTGCATATTCCATCCAGATATCTATGCTATGGTGAAGACTCTTCAAGAACTCTATATTACTGAAGTAACATAAGCGTGCGAGATTCGTACTTCCGGTCAACCAGCCTCCACACCTGGCAACAAGGAGCATGAAACCCTTATACAACAGGCCGGCATCCCCGTTGACAAAATCATAATGTCATTCCCAGACATCTTGGAAAATCATCTACATACCGGTGCCCAGGTGTTTCGCTGTGCTTCACTCTAGAAGGTCAGCCCCACTCCCGTCCTGGTGTTTTATACTGGGAAGAGACGGAAGGCCTTTTTCAGTGATGTGAACTGGCGATCAGAGTTACACTACCCAGTTAGAAAGTGTTCTTCCATCGACACTGCGACTGAGGGACTGTCAGCTGAACGACTTAGACTCTGTTTTCGCTCCTGGTGCTAGCCAGAGAGAACCATGCACCAATATCCATGGACGTCGTCATGGATTAAAAGGGACCTCAGATTCCATTCAGCAGTGAAGTAGTACTCCAAGGCCTGTTCAACCCAACAATAATCACGGCATTGGAGATCAGAATACCTGATCCTCGTACCACGCTCTTATTGCAGAAAGACCGATTGCTGACATCATCAACAGCCTCAACCTTCAGAACCAGTCACTAACTGCTGTCTCAGCAAACTTCATCCAGCAGGATGGAACCCCGAGACTCATCCAGAAGATCACTCTCAAATTTCCAGCAGAGGCCATCCTCACGGCCGACAATGGCCTCAGATGTTTTGGTGGGGCCTGCATACCCCAGCAGATCTCCCGGGAACGATACTGCCGCTTAAACCAATCCTTCAGATGTTACCAATACATTCATTACACCCAGAAATGCATTAGCCAGGAGCAGAGATGCAGCATCAGTGCAGGAAACCACAACTACAAGAACTGCCAAGCCGAGTACCAATGCTATCTCCTATACAGAGATGCCCACACCACCGTCTCACCGAAGTGCCCTGCTAGGAAAGCTGAAATACAGAGCATGACCAAAGCCACACAAGCCACCGCCCTTCAAGATCGACCAAGGCATTCAATATTCAGGCAGAAGCCATCCCAGACCTCCCTACTAGTGGCACCACCACACAACACGGCAACTACTGGTGGAACAACTCCCGCAGTAGCAGCCAACCACAGACCCAGGGGTCGCCACTCACCCAACACAGCCACCACCGACAACAGGACGATTCCTCCTCTCATAAACATTGCAGGCCTTATGGCTAGATTAGACATCAGGAAGTAAGACAGTACTTTTTTCTACTACAAACGTGGTACTAAATGAACCATATGCCGAGAACAACCTACCCAGCTTTAAGATCTCTGAGGCCTTTTTCACAAGACACACGCAAACAACTGATCCAAGCAAAACGTCGTCAGTCTCTACCAACGGACCCAGCAACACCAGAGTCAAAACGCCTGTCCCAGAGCCATTAGCAAACTCCACAACAGATCCAGACCAGAAGACCTTCTCCACTGCCGCAGAGGACGAAGCTACACTCACCCGACGATGTAGAGGACTCTAACATCACCAACAACGCAACACACACCAAACGCTCTCTTCTCCACTAACACCAGAAGTTGCACTCGGTCACGGCCGTGCGAAACTCGCTAGAACACCAAGAGAACGCCGCTTCATCTCCACCGCCCTGAGGGACCTGTGTAATCTGGCACAACAGGAAGACTAGCCCAGACTCCGACCACTCGGAAATCTCCGAGTGACGATTTCATACATCAACACATTCGACGGAACAAACCCCGATCAGCAGTGGAGGGTTGCGACGAGACATCAACGAGCCAAGAACGACAAAATAACGAAGAAAAAGTAGCTACCATCTACATGATACATTGCCCGTTTTCATTTATTCCTTTTGATCTCCATGCTCGCCACCGTGAAGACTGACGCAAAAGACAAGACTTCAGCACTACCCAAGAAAGAAGACCCAAGCTTCATCGAGGAAGAAGACTGCACCTCACAAGAGGACAGTCCTCGCCTCATGGCCCTTCCCCCTCCTCTATTCCCAGCCGGTCCGGTTGATAGCCTCAGGGTATGCTGTACAGCTGGATTTAGCCCGGGCTCTGTCTCTACGACTTCGACATTTCCTTTCACCGGCTATTCTTCAGCTGTATCCACTTTTCCGCTCACCCGATGGGTATCTTGTCTTATATTTGATTGATGATCGCACATTCACTTTTTTTAGGTGCTCTTGGCTGTAAACATCTCTCGCTGTCAATGACTTGCCACGGCACATCAAGATGTGGGGTTTTGGTAAAGTATTGTAGCCTTTTGATTGTTTTTAAATTGTCTCAGTCTCTCTCTGAGTCTAAAAGAATTCATTTTCATTGATATTTTATGTTTCTTATTATACCGTGTACTGCCAAGTTGTACATCAAGTGTTAAAATCATTTACTGTTTTAATTAATTTGTATTTTACTTGAGTGTTTTTCCGATACTTTAATTTTAGCCCATCTTACTCACACTGGAAAAGACAATTTTGAGTTTCTCTCCTCTTCTCTCAAACAGCCAGACATCCTCTCCAATAGACACCCACCAATAACTTTGACCCCTAAATCACCCAAACTTTGATCCTTAAACGACCTAACAACCTTGCTCCCTGACCTGTGTGGCCATTAAGGACGGCCTTATGAAGGATGTTAGTGTGGTTGGCGTCCTTGGTGAAGACCTTGTGCTTGGTGTCGAGTAGAGCCTTGACCTTCCTCGTGTCCCCGTCCTCTGCAGCCCCGTGAAGCTCCTCGATCGTATCCTGCAGGGTACATGGGATGGTAGGGTTGCACGACAGCATTCACTCTTATTCCCAACGTGTTGCAAGATTGCAAAATGGTTACAAATGCGTTGTGTTTTACATTGCGAGCTTGCCAGATATGATGTTATGGGTGGATATGATGATATGGATGGATATGACATTGTGGGTGGATATGATGGTATGAGTGGATATGATGATATGAGTGGATATAATGATATGAGTGGATATGATGGTATGAGTGGATATAATGATATGGGTGGATATAATGTTGTGGGTGGATATGATGTTATGGGTGAATATGATGATATGGGTGGATATGTTACGGGTGGATATGATGTTATTGATGGAACCAATGTTACAGATGATCATAATATTAAGAAATGGCCCTGATGTTGAGGTGGAAATGATGTTGCCCAGGAAACATTTCTCTAAGAGAGATGTTTCTCTCAACAACCCCCTCTCCCTCTACTCTTCCTTTCCTAGCCAGACAACCCTTAGTTTCCGGTCTCGCCTTGAAAAGCCTCTTGGAACAGTCCTTAACCCTTCCACTGCTACGATCGTCATATGGGGTTTTCTCCCCTATGGGTGGGGAGAAAAGGTTTAGGGGGTTAAAATGAAGGCCGAGGAACCTACCAGGTGGTGTGGGACTTTCTTGAGGAAATCGTTGACCTCGGGATCCTTAGACGAGCGTCCTACGAGCTTGTGTCCGTCACCCTGGATGACGAGGTTATTGAGAGGGTTGAAGTCCTCGTCCCGCTCTGCGGCCTTTATCGCGCCACGCACCTCGTCCTCGTCGTCGTCGTCGTCGTCGTCGTCACCCTGCGGAGTCTGGGCTCTAGACGGACCTTTTGATTTAGGAGGCTCAGTGGATGGGGCCCTGGATGGGGCCCTGGATGGTTCCCTGGATTGGGCCCTGGATGGCTCCCTGGACGGTTCTCTGGATGGGGCCCTGGATGGTTCCCTGGACGGTTCCCTGGATGGGGCCCTAGATGGCTCCCTCGAAGGCTCTTTTAACTTTTCTTTCAGCAACTCCTTGGATGGCCCTGGAACAGGGCCCTTTGTTTTTCCTTTTGGAGGGCCCTTGTTAGGTCCTTTGGAAGGACCCTTGGAGGCCCTTTTGTTTGCGGCCAGCATGTACTCGGCCGGGGAGCGACCACTCTGCAGGGTAGACACGACTGGTGAGTTAGATCATGCGAGGTCACATGGGATCACGTATGCCGGGGGCGAGGAAGGTCAGGGAGGGGGCGATCAGGTAGGAAGGTCCGAGAAGTACATCAGGGAAGAAGATCAGGACGGGAGATCATTGAGGAGAATCAGGAAGGAAAGTAGTCAAGCACAGCATTTAAGAAACCTCCATTACCCAGACAAACTCATTAGGAAAGCTAAATATTAGCCACAAAATCCAAACAGTAATAGACCACTTGATCGTAAACAAATGAATAAAAGGCCGTTACAATGGTGATATGTATAAGGTTATATATGAAGCATACATATGCACAACAGAACACGAAATACAAATTACATATCAGATAAGTATACATTAGGGAGTTAATGAAGAATGATTTGCTAGTCTAGTTGCCAAAGATTGTAATGAGATTGTTTGGTGATAGCAGAGTGTATTGTTTCAAGCGTAGGTTAGACGAATGTAAGTTATGTGGGGATGGGCCTCGTTACTTCTTTAATCTTCTTTGTATACATGTTTTGATGTGAATGACTGTTCATCATCTGTTCAATCCCACGAGTCTACCTGTTCACCACCTGTTCATTCATCAAGTCTGCCCGTTCACCGCCTGTTCATCATCTGTTCATCACCTGTTCATTCACACTAAAACAAAATAAAATTACAAATATAGTTTTGTTTTAAATTCTTACACGTTCATTATTTTCTGGTAGGCCTATTTTCCCAGTTTTAATGTTTTCCCAATTATCTCTGAATTTATCACATTCGTTTGTCTCAGTTTTCTTCGCTCTCTCCAGTGTTTTATTTTGTCTTTCATATTTTGGGTTATTGTAGTTTTTCAATTTTGTTATTGTTGTCCTGTTCAGTTATTGTCGTGTTTGAAACCATCTTTGTCTCCTGTGTCTCCCTCCCTCTCTTGTGTCTCCCTCCCTCTCTTGTGTGTCTCCCTCCCTCTCTTGTGTCTCCCTCCCTCTCTTGTGTGTCTCCCTCCCTCTCCTGTGTGTCTCCCTCCCTCTCTTGTGTGTCTCCCTCCCTCTCTTGTGTGTCTCCCTCCCTCTCTTGTGTGTCTCCCTCCCTCTCTTGTGTGTCTCCCTCCCTCTCTTGTGTGTCTCCCTCCCTCTCTTGTGTGTCTCCCTCCCTCTCTTGTGTGTCTCCCTCCCTCTCTTGTGTGTCTCCCTCCCTCTCTTGTGTGTCTCCCTCCCTCTCTTGTGTGTCTCCCTCCCTCTCTTGTGTGTCTCCCTCCCTCTCTTGTGTGTCTCCCTCCCTCTCCTGTGTGTCTCCCTCCCTCTCTTGTGTGTCTCCCTCCCTCTCTTGTGTGTCTCCCTCCCTCTCTTGTGCCTCCCTCCCTCTCTTGTGTGTCTCCCTCCCTCTCTTGTGTGTCTCCCTCCCTCTCTTGTGTGTCTCCCTCCCTCTCTTGTGTGTCCCTCCCTCTCTTGTGCCTCCCTCCCTCTCTTGTGTGTCTCCCTCCCTCTCTTGTGTGTCTCCCTCCCTCTCTTGTGTGTCTCCCTCCCTCTCTTGTGCCTCCCTCCCTCTCCTGTGTGTCTCCCTCCCTCTCTTGTGTGCCTCCCTCCCTCTCTTGTGTGCCTCCCTCCCTCTCTTGTGTGTCTCCCTCCCTCTCTTGTGCCTCCCTCCCTCTCGTGTGTGTCTCCCTCCCTCTCTTGTGTGCCTCCCTCCCTCGCTTGTGTGTCTCCCTTGCTCTCTTGTGCCTCCCTCCCTCTCTTGTGTGTCTCCCTCCCTCTCTTGTGTGTCTCCCTCCCTCTCTTGTGTCTCCCTCCCTCTCTTGTGTGTCTCCCTCCCTCTCTTGTGTGTCTCCCTCCCTCTCCTGTGTGTCCCTCCCTCTCTTGTGTGTCTCCCTCCCTCTCTTGTGTGTCTCCCTCCCTCTCTTGTGTGTCTCCCTCACTCTCTTGTGTGTCTCCCTCCCTCTCTTGTGTGTCTCCCTCCCTCTCTTGTGTGTCTCCCTCCCTCTCTTGTGTGTCTCCCTCCCTCTCCTGTGTGTCCCTCCCTCTCTTGTGCCTCCCTCCCTCTCTTGTGTGTCTCCCTCCCTCTCTTGTGTGTCTCCCTCCCTCTCGTGTGTGTCTCCCTCCCTCTCTTGTGTGTCTCCCTCCCTCTCCTGTGCCTCCCTCCCTCTGTTGTGCCTCCCTCCCTCTCTTGTGTGTCTCCCTCCCTCTCTTGTGTGTCTCCCTCCCTCTCCTGTGCCTCCCTCCCTCTCCTGTGCCTCCCTCTCTCTCTCCAGTGTCTCCCTCCCTCCCGCTACTCACCAAGTCTTGGATTCCATCACTGGCTCCCTCTCGCTTGAGGAGGTCGTAGGCCTGCCTGGCCCCCACCTCCTTCGAGAGGGCGGCGTGGTGCAGCGGCGTCCTCCCGTCCTGCGGGCAAGGAGGTCAAAGGTCACCTCGGGTGTAAGAGGTTCAGGTGGTCATGACACGTTCACAAGGTGAAGGTCAGGCCTCACTTGCGGTAGGAAGTACACGGGTCACTTCCGGTAGAAAGGTCAAGGGTCACTTCCGGTAGAAAGGTCAAGGGTCACTTCCGGTAGAAAGGTCAAGGGTCACTTCCGGTAGAAAGGTCAAGGGTCACTTCCGGTAGAAAAGTCAGGGTCACTTCCGGTAGAAAGGTTAAGGGTCACTTCCGGTAGAAAGGTGAAGGGTCACTTCCGGTAGAAAGGTCAAGGGTCACTTCCGGTAGAAAGGTCAAGGGTCACTTCCGGTAGAAAGGTCAAGGGTCACTTCCGGTAGAAAGGTCAAGGGTCACTTCTGGTAGAAAGGTCAAGGGTCACTTCCGGTAGAAAGGTCAAGGGTCACTTCCGGTAGAAAGGCCAAGGGTCACTTCCGGTAGAAAGGTCAAGGGTCACTTCCGGTAGAAAGGTCAAGGGTCACTTCCGGTAGAAAGGTCAAGGGTCACTTCCGGTAGAAATGTCAAGGGTCACTTCCGGTAGAAAGGTCAAGGGTCACTTCTGGTAGAAAGGTCAAGGGTCACTTCCGGTAGACAGGTCAAGGGTCACTTCCGGTAGAAAGGTCAAGGGTCACTTCCGGTAGAAAGGTCAAGGGCCACTTCCGGTTGAAAGGTCAAGGGTCACTTCCGGTAGAAAGGTCAAGGGTCACTTCCTGTAGAAAGGTCAAGGGTCACTTCCGGTAGAAAGGTCAAGGGTCACTTCCGGTAGAAAGGTCAAGGGTCACTTCTGGATATAAGGTCAAAATTCACTGCTAGTAACGAGGTCAAAGGTCACCACTGGTAAAGGCACCGGCAGGTATCACTGACGACAAAAGAGTACTGAGTGAGGTCACAGAAAGGTCACGTGCCACAGTTGGGAAGCAAGTCAAAGGTCAAAGTTCACTGGTGAATGGTCAGTGGTGATGATCAAAGGTGGGAATACACAGAGTTGAGAGGTCAAAGCTGGAAGGTCAAAGTTGAGAATTCAAAGATCCAACCATTCGTCTGCTTATATAACTACCTATCCAATCCAACTATCCAATTCCCCCCACCCTTTCATCCACCTCCCCGCCCACCTATCCACCTCCCCGCCCACCAATCCACCTCCCCGCCCACCTATCCACCTCCCCGCCCACCTATCCACCTCCCCGCCCACCTATCCACCACCCTCCCCCCAAACCTATCCACTGTGCGATACTGACGTTGTCCTCAACATTGACGCCGTCAGGATAGAGGTTGACGAGGTGCCGGACCAGTTGGGCGTTGCCGGCCCCGGCGGCTAGATGGAGGGCTAGAGAGCCGTCCTTGCCTCTAGCCATGGCGAGGTGGTCGTTCTCCTTCGTCAGGCGTTTGACTGTCCTCACGTCCCCCTTCGACGCTGCCTCCTGTATGGCCTTCACCTTCTCCTGTAGCAGGAAGGAGTGGTTAGTGGGGGGTCGTTAGTGGGGGTGGTTAGTGGGGGTGGTTAGTGGGAGGGGATGAGGTTAGTGTGAGGGGATGAGGTTAGTGTGAGGGGATGAGGTTAGTGTGAGGGGATGAGGTTAGTGTGAGGGGATGAGGTTAGTGTGAAGGAGGAGCAGGTTAGTGTGAGGGACGAGCAGGTTAGTGTGAGGGAGCAGGTTAGTGTGAGGGAGGAACAGGTTAGTGTGAGGGAGGAGCAGGTTAGTGTGAGGGACGAGCAGGTTAGTGTGAGGGGGCAGGTTAGTGTGAGGGACGAGCAGGTTAGTGTGAGGGACGAGCAGGTTAGTGTGAGGGAGGAGCAGGTTAGTGTGAGGGAGCAGGTTAGTGTGAGGGACGAGCAGGTTAGTGTGAGGGAGCAGGTTAGTGTGAGGGAGGAGCAGGTTAGTGTGAGGGACGAGCAGGTTAGTGTGAGGGAGGAGCAGGTTAGTGTGAGGGACGAGCAGGTTAGTGTGAGGGAGCAGGTTAGTGTGAGGGAGGAGCAGGTCAGTGTGAGGGAGGAGCAGGTCAGTGTGAGGGACGAGCAGGTCAGTGTGAGGGAGGAGCAGGTCAGTGTGAGGGAGGAGCAGGTCAGTGTGAGGGAGGAGCAGGTTAGTGTGAGGGAGGAGCAGGTCAGTGTGAGGGAGGAGCAGGTCAGTATGAGGGAGGAGGAGGTTAGTGTGAGGTAGGAGCAGGTTAGTGTGAGGGAGGAGGAGGTTAGTGTGAGGGAGGAGCAGGTCAGTGTGAGGGAGGAGCAGGTTAGTGTGAGGGAGGAGCAGGTTAGTGTGAGGGAGGAGCAGTTCAGTGTGAGGGAGGAGCAGGTTAGTGTGAGGGAGGAGCAGGTCAGTGTGAGGGAGGAGCAGGTTAGTGTGAGGGACGAGCAGGTTAGTGTGTGGAAGGAGCAGATCAGTGTGAGGGAGGAGCAGGTCAGTGTGAGGGAGGAGCAGGTTAGTGTGAGGGAGGAGCAGGTTAGTGTGAGGGACGAGCAGGTTAGTGTGAGGGAGGAGCAGGTTAGTGTGAGGGACGAGCAGGTTAGTGTGAGGGAGGAGCAGGTCAGTGTGAGGGAGGAGCAGGTCAGTGTGAGGGACGAGCAGGTTAGTGTGAGGGAGGAGCAGGTCAGTGTGAGGGACGAGCAGGTTAGTGTGAGGGAGGAGCAGGTTAGTGTGAGGGACGAGCAGGTTAGTGTGAGGGAGGAGCAGGTTAGTGTGAGGGAGCAGGTTAGTGTGAGGGAGGAGCAGGTCAGTGTGAGGGACGAGCAGGTTAGTGTGAGGGAGCAGGTTAGTGTGAGGGACGAGCAGGTTAGTGTGAGGGAGGAGCAGGTTAGTGTGAGGGAGGAGAAGGTTAGTGTGAGGGAGGAGCAGGTTAGTGTGAGGGAGGAGCAGGTCAGTGTGAGGGAGGAGCAGGTTAGTGTGAGGGAGGAGGTTAGTGTGAGGGAGGAGCAGGTTAGTGTGAGGGAGGAGGAGGTTAGTGTGAGGTAGGAGCAGGTTAGTGTGAGGGAGGAGGAGGTTAGTGTGAGGGAGGAGCAGGTTAGTGTGAGGGAGCAGGTTAGTGTGAGGTAGGAGCAGGTTAGTGTGAGGTAGGAGCAGGTTAGTGTGAGGTAGGAGCAGGTCAGTGTGAGGGAGGAGCAGGTTAGTGTGAGGGAGGAGGAGGTTAGTGTGAGGGAGGAGCAGGTTAGTGTGAGGGAGCAGGTTAGTGTGAGGTAGGAGCAGGTTAGTGTGAGGGAGGAGCAGGTCAGTGTGAGTGAGGAGCAGGTTAGTGTAAGGGAGGAGGAGGTTAGTGTGAGGGAGGAGCAGGTTAGTGTGAGGGAGCAGGTTAGTGTGAGGGAGCAGGTTAATGTGAGGTAGGAGCAGATTAGTGTGAGGGAGCAGGTTAGTGTGAGGGAGGAGCAGGTTAGTGTGAGGGAGGAGGATGTTAGTGTGAGGGAGGAGCAGGTTAGTGTGAGGGAGCAGGTTAGTGTGAGGGAGGAGCAGGTTAGTGTGAGGTAGGAGCAGGTCAGTGTGAGGGAGGAGCAGGTCAGTGTGAGGTAGGAGCAGGTCAGTGTGAGGGAGGAGCAGGTTAGTGTGAGGGAGGAGGAGGTTAGTGTGAGGGAGGAGCAGGTTAGTGTGAGGGAGGAGCAGGTTAGTGTGAGGTAGGAGCAGGTCAGTGTGAGGGAGGAGCAGGTCAGTGTGAGGGAGGAGCAGGTTAGTGTGAGGTAGGAGCAGGTCAGTGTGAGGGAGGAGCAGGTTAGTGTGAGGGAGCAGGTTAGTGTGAGGGAGCAGGTTAATGTGAGGTAGGAGCAGATTAGTGTGAGGGAGCAGGTTAGTGTGAGGTAGGAGCAGGTCAGTGTGAGGGAGGAGCAGGTTAGTGTGAGGGAGGAGCAGGTTAATGTGAGGTAGGAGCAGGTTAGTGTGAGGGAGCAGGTTAGTGTGAGGGAGGAGCTGGTCAGTGTGAGGGAGGAGCAGGTTAGTGTGAGGTAGGAGCAGGTCAGTGTGAGGGAGGAGCAGGTTAGTGTGAGGGAGCAGGTTAGTGTGAGGGAGCAGGTTAATGTGAGGTAGGAGCAGATTAGTGTGAGGGAGCAGGTTAGTGTGAGGTAGGAGCAGATTAGTGTGAGGGAGCAGGTTAGTGTGAGGGAGCAGGTTAATGTGAGGTAGGAGCAGGTTAGTGTGAGGGAGCAGGTTAGTGTGAGGGAGGAGCAGGTTAATGTGAGGTAGGAGCAGGTTAGTGTGAGGGAGCAGGTTAGTGTGAGGGAGTAGCAGGTCAGTGTGAAGGAGTAGCAGGTTAGTGTGAGGGAGGAACAGGTTAGTGTGAAGGAGGAGCAGGTTAGTGTGAGGGACGAGCAGGTTAGTGTGAGGGAGCAGGTTAGTGCGAGGGAACAGGTTAGTGTGAGGGAGGAGCAGGTTAGTGTGAGGGAGCAGGTTAGTATGAGGGAGGAGCAGGTCAGTGTGAGGGAGCAGGTTAGTGTGAGGGAGGAGCAGGTTAGTGTGAGGCTCACATGAACCAACACAGGCACATTAGGTGTCATTTATGATGGCAACTTTTTTCCAAGTTGGTTTATCTCAATTAACATTATTATATTACATTAAAAACATGATTTACTGAGTTAGTTAAGTTAAGTTATGTTAGATTAGATTGGGTAGGTTATATAGCTCGGTCAAATGTATTTTATTGTACCACACAGCTTGGCTCTGTACCACACAGCTTGGCTCTGTACCCCACAGCTTGGTTCTGTACCACACAGCTTGGCTCTGTACCCCCACAGCTTGGCTCTGTACTCCCACAGCTTGGCTCTGTACTCCCACAGCTTGGCTCTGTACTACACAGCTTGGCTCTGTACCACACAGCTTGGCTCTGTATCACACAGCTTGGCTCTGTACCACACAGCTTGGCTCTGTACCACACAGCTTGGCTCTGTATCACACAGCTTGGCTCTGTTCCCCACAGCTTGGCTCTGTTCCCCACAGCTTGGCTCTGTACCACTCAGCTTGGCTCTGTACCACATAGCTTGGCTCTGTACCACACAGCTTGGCTCTGTACCACACAGCTTGGCTCTGTTCCCCACAGCTTGGCTCTGTACCACTCAGCTTGGCTCTGTACCACACAGCTTGGCTCTGTGCCACACAGCTTGGCTCTGTACCACACAGCTTGGCTCTGTACCACACAGCTTGGGTCTGTACTACACAGTTTGGCTCTGTACCACACAGCTTGGCTCTGTACCACACAGCTTGGCTCTGTACCACACAGCTTGGCTCTGTACCACACAGCTTCGCTCTGTACCACACAGCTTGGCTCTGTACCACACAGCTTGGCTCTGTACCACACAGCTTGGCTCTGTACCACACAGCTTGGCTCTGTACCACACAGCTTGGCTCTGTACCACACAGCTTGGGTCTGTACTACACAGTTTGGCTCTGTACCACACAGCTTGGCTCTGTATCACACAGCTTGGCTCTGTACCACACAGCTTGGCTTTGTACCCCCACAGCTTGACTCTGTACCACACAGCTTGGCTCTGTACCACACAGCTTGGCTCTGTACCACACAGCTTGGCTCTGTACCACACAGCTTGGCTCTGTACCACACAGCTTGGCTCTATACCCCCACAGCTTGGTTCTGTACCCCCACAGCTTGGCTCTGTACTCCCACAGCTTGGCTCTGTACCACACAGCTTGGCTTTGTACCCCCACAGCTTGACTCTGTACCACACAGCTTGGCTCTGTACCACACAGCTTGGCTCTGTACCCCACAGCTTGGCTCTGTACCCCCACAGCTTGGCTTTGTACCCCCACAGCTTGGCTCTGTACCACACAGCTTGGCTTTGTACCCCCACAGCTTGGCTCTGTACCCCCACAGCTTGGCTTTGTACCCCCACAGCTTGGCTCTGTACCACACAGCTTGGCTCTGTACCCCCACAGCTTGGCTTTGTACCCCCATAGCTTGGCTCTGTACCCCCACAGCTTGGCTCTGTACCCCACAGCTTGGCTCTGTACCCCCACAGCTTGGCTTTGTACCCCCACAGCTTGGCTCTGTACCACACAGCTTGGCTTTGTACCCCCACAGCTTGGCTCTGTACCCCCACAGCTTGGCTCTGTACCCCACAGCTTGGCTCTGTACCCCCACAGCTTGGCTTTGTACCCCCACAGCTTGGCTCTGTACCCCACAGCTTGGCTCTGTACCCCCACAGCTTGGCTTTGTACCCCCACAGCTTGGCTCTGTACCCCACAGCTTGGCTCTGTACCACACAGCTTGGCTCTGTACCCCCACAGCTTGGCTTTGTACCCCCACAGCTTGGCTCTGTACCACACAGCTTGGCTTTGTACCCCCACAGCTTGGCTCTGTACCCCCACAGCTTGGCTCTGTACCCCACAGCTTGGCTCTGTACCCCCACAGCTTGGCTTTGTACCCC